CTTACTAAGAAGTTGATTCCCCACCCAACTGATTACATGCCTTTTGGTACATTTCTCTTCTGTTCTGATACAGGTGCTACTTGTTTTGGGAACCCCGAGTCTGTTTTGGAGCTTCTTGTGAGCTTAATCAATGATCAAAGTCAAGGTTTTGAGGTCGTAGATTATGGAAAACTTGTTGAAAATCTATATCGTAAAGCAATTTGCAAGGACTTGATCACACAGGGGCTGTACTTGACAGATTCTACTTCACTGAATGCAAGTATCCGTTTGCAGTTGTGTGCAGCACTAGGATTGACATCTGATATGCAGGTAGCTGAATGTTTTAAGTTCTAAGCATTTAAATAAGTAATGCTATAAGTGTCGTTTTCTCATCGATTCAAGAGTTTCAACTTGATAATATGTGATGACATTTGATGAAATACTTCATCACACATGTTACCGACATGAAATTCCAAATTTGATTACAGAACACAATATCTGTGATTCTGCATATGTATGCTCTCTAAATCTTATCAGTCTTGTGTGTAACTAGACTAGAATTTAATGAGTATATATCTTCATCGTATCATCTGAATTTGATTTTACAGCAGCTACAACATCAAAACACTGATATAAACGCTTTGGCAACAAAGTTGGAAGAACTGGAGAAATTCATGTCCCAGAAGAAGGTGAAATTTGATCCATCCAAGACATTGAATATGAAGAAGATAGACATGGCAAATCTTGAATGGTACAAGAAGTATTGTAAAAGTCAAGGAATTGGGTACTATGACTGCTTCAAAAAGGACACCAAAAAGGACACCTCAAAAGTGGACACCTCATCAACAGTTTCCCAAGATGTTATTCTGCCGCAGAAAAGCCTCAGAAACTACTGGAGTGAGATGGTTGAAGAAGCAGAGAGGAAACCTCAGACAGAAGCTGCAGCCTTTCGTACTCGCTGGCTTTTTGCTGGAACTAACTACAGGAGAATGGTTGAGCCCCTATACATTGCTGAATACTATGCAAATGGTCTTCGTAACTATGAGGCTAAAGGAAGGTCTAGACATTATGTAGTGTTGGAGAAGTGGCTGGAAGAAGATAAGAAAGAAAAA